TTTTTATAAGCTTTTTCTTACCTTAACCATTAATTAGAACCTGCTGCAAAAAGCTGAAGAGGGGTAGCAAGAGTAAGCAGATCTGTTCCTGATCTTTCATGAAAAGCTTTGAGACTTTCACTAGCAGATTTTTTTTTTTTAATAGATTCCCTTCTCAGAACAGGAAAACACCTTTTACTTATAGTTCCCCAGGTTATTTTTTTCATGAATAAAAATGTTCAATTTTCTCAAAGCAATTAAAATAGTAAGGCTAATTACACTGATCAATTTACAGCTGTTAAAACAACCTTACATTCCCAGAATAATCCTAATTTGGGCATGATGAATTAGCCCTTTTATGTACTACTGAATTCAATTAGCTATAGTTCTATTAATGATTTTTGAGTGTTTGTTCACAAGTAACTATAGTTCTCCTTTCTTGTAGGTCCAGTTTTAGAATCAGTGTATTTAACAGGTTATTTAAAACTACTGACATTTTCTGTTTCTGCTTGGGTCACTTTGTGTTTTTCGAGGAATCTGCCCATTTAATCTATATTGGGGAATGTATTCATTAAATTCATATACCCAAATCTGTTCATATTATTTTATGATGCTTTAATGACTGTAGGATCTATAGTGATATCACCTCTTTCCCTCATGATATTGATAATTCATGTCTTCTCTTTTTTTAATTTTTTCCTTAATCATTAACTTTTCTCTACCAATTTTAAAGTGCTATATTTTAAAGTTTGCCCTGCTAAATATTTTTTAATTTGTCTATTCAACAGGTAGAGAAAGAGTGTGAGAGATTGAATACACTTTCTTTTTATTATTATTATTACTTTTTGACAGGCAGAGTTAGACAGTGAGAGAGAGAAAGAGAAACAGAGACAAAGGTCTTCCTTTTCTGTTGGTTCACCCCCCAACTGGCTGCTATGGCCGGCGCGCTGTGCCGATCCAAAGCCAGGAGCCAGGTGCTTCCTCCTGGTCTCCCATGCGGGTGCAGGGCCCAAACACCTGGGCCATCCTCCACTACCTTCCTGGGCCACAGCAGAGAGCTGGACTGGAAGAGGAGCAACCAGGACAGAATCCGGCGCCCCAACCAGGACTAGAACCCAGGGTGCCGGCACCGCAGGCAGAGGATTAGCCTAGTGAGCCACGGTGCCAGCCTAGCCACAGATTTTTGTAACAAAGTTTATCTTTACTATTTTTTATGACTACAACAATTCAGACAAGAGGTTCTCAACAGGACACTTGCTCAGCAACAGCACCTACACTGAGGATCTGATGCCAACTCTTGCCTTGGGTTTCCAAGACAAGTCTGTGTCTAAGCTGCTTATGTAAGCTTCTCACTTTTTGCCTTTAAAAACTTTCCCTTGCCTCAACCTTCTCAAATACACACATAGTTTAGTATGGCACTCCTAGTCCTATTGGTATGTCATTCCCAAATAAAACCACTATTTTTCAGAAAATCTCTTATTTAAATTGTCACACCACACAATGAGTTGGAAGTGTTCCCTTTGCTTTTGGTTTCATGAGGATATTAGAAACACCTGGTATCATTCCTGCCTTAAATATTTGTTAGAATTCAACGGTGAAACTAGTTGAGCCTGATGCTTTCTGTTTTAAAAGGTTGTTAATTATTAACACCTCTAATACATTTGCTTATTGTGCTTTGTAATTAATTTTTCTGTGTCATATCTGCACTTATAGGTAGGAACCACATCTTCATTTTTTTGTATCCTGCAGTTAATGTTACACAATTTGAATTATATAAGAAATATTTAGAAGAAGTGAGATGGGGCCAGTGTTGTTGTATAGCAGGTAAAGCCACTGCCTGCACCATTAGCATCCCATTATGAATGCTGGTTGGAGTTCCAGCTGCTCTACTTCTGGCTGCCCGCTAGTGTGCCTGGGAGTGCAGCATAGGATGGCCCAAGTGCTTGGGCCCCTGCACCCTCGAAGGAGGCCCAAAAGAAGCTCCTGGCTCCTGGTTTTAATAGGCCCAGCTCCAGCTGTTGTGGCCATTTGGAGAGTGAAATAGTGGATGGAAGATCTCTCTCTCTTTCAAATAAATAAATAAATCCTTTTTAAAAACAAGATCTGAGAGGCCGGTGCTGTGGTGCAGCCGGTTAAAGCCCTGGCCTGAAGTGCCAGCATCCCATATGGGCGCCGGTTCTAATCCCGGTTGCTCCTCTACCGATCCAGCTCTCTGCTATGGCCTGGGATAGCAGCAGAGGACGGCCCAAGTCCTTGGGCCTCTGCCCCCACAGGGGAGACCTCGAAGAAGCTCCTGGCTCTTGACTTCGGATCAGTGCAGTTCTGGCTGTTACAGCCATCTGGGGAGTAAACAAGCGCATGGAAGACCTCTCTGTCCCTACCTCTCTCTGTAACTCTGTCTATTCAAATAAATAAAATAAACAAACAAACAAAAAAAAACCCAAGATCTGAGATGAAACACTAAGTGATATTTAGTTTTCATGGATGAGCTTTACAGAGGTATAATGTACATAAACCATAACATTTACAGATTTTAGGTGAACAATTCAATGAGTTTTGACAAATATATTCAGTTGTATAACCACCACCCACAACAATCATGTCATAGTTCCATCATTCCAGAAAGGGCCCTTCATGCCTCTGTGCAGTTAATAGGCTGTTATCATTTTCAGTCTCAGGCAAACACTGATATTTGTCTCTACAATTTGTTTCCAAGTTAAGTATTTCATATAAATTGGCAACAAGCAATGTAGACTTCTGTGTCTAGTGTCTTGTACTTAACATAATGCTTTGAGGGTTCACTTCTTTCCAATACTGAGCAAAATTCCATTGTCTGGCTGTATCATAATTTGTTTATTCTTTCAACTGACAGACATTTGGATTTTCATTTTATACTATGATGAATGCTGAAGCTGCCAATATTAGTGGACAAATCTTTATACAAACTTAGGATTTCCTAGATATACAGGAATAAACTAGATATAAAGGAAAAGAATTGGCTGTATTACATGCCAAAAATGAAATTATGAGTAACTTTAAGGAAAAGTTGCCAAACTGCTTTCCAAAGTTGGCATAGTATTTTGCATTCCCACTGGTAATGTAACAAATCTCTAGGTGTCCCATTTTCTTGCCATCACTTGGTACTGTCAGTCTTTTTAACTGGAGCAATCCCAATTTACATTTCATTAGTGAAGAGAATCTTTTCAAGTGCTTATTTTCCATTTTTTCTTTGGAGGAAGTAATGTCATTCAAACATATTGCCAATTTCTTTCAATCAAGTTGTCTCTTACTAAGGAGCTTTAAGAGTTCCTTATAGATTCAATTTGTAACTCTTTTATCAGATATTTATTTTGAAAAAGACCGTATCTTGCCCTTGCCTTTTCTTATGAGTGTCTTTTAAAAGAACAGAGTATTTAATTTAAATGAAATCTATTTTGTCAATCCATTCCTGAATTTACATTTCCCTATTCATGTTTTGTGACCTATCTAGGAAACTGATCTTTTTTTTTTTTTTTTTTTAGTAAAGTTGTGGCAGTTTGCTAAAATATTTGTTTCTGTTAGGTATACTATCTCCATAAAAAGTAAAATAACTACACAAAAATTGCTGTGGGCATTTGGTGCAGTTGTTAAGGTGCCTTGACACAACACATTCCATATTAGAAGAACTGGTTTTGTGTCTGGACTCTTAACTCCTGATTCCAGCTTCCCAGTAATGTGTGCCTGGACAGCAGTGTTGATGACCCAAGTGAGCAGGTTCCTGCCACCACATAGGAGATCTAGCTCCTGGCTTTATCCTGGCCCAGACCTAGCTGTGGCATTTGAGAAATAAATTAGCAGATGGGTGATATCTATCTCTAATACAGAAATAAAGTAAAAAAATTTAAAAAGTGGCCGGCGCCGTGGCTCACTAGGCTAATCCTCCGCCTAGCGGCGCCGGCACACCGGGTTCTAGTCCCGGTCGGGGTGCCGGATTCTGTCCCGGTTGCCCCTCTTCCAGGCCAGCCCTCTGCTGTGGCCAGGGAGTGCAGTGGAGGATGGCCCAAGTGCTTGGGCCCTGCACCCCATGGGAGACCAGGAAAAGCATCTGGCTCCTGGCTCCTGCCATCGGATCAGTGCAGTGCGCCGGCCGCAGCGCGCCGGCGGCGGCAGCCATTGGAGGGTGAACCAACGGCAAAGGAAGACCTTTCTCTCTCTCTCTCTCTCACTGTCCACTCTGCCTGTCAAAAAAAAAAAAAAAAAATTTTAAAAAGTAAATTGATGTTAACAAGATAAAAATAAAAATTAATTAAATAAAAATCATAAATACTGAAAATCTTTCAGGAGGTATAAAAATAAACAGATTAATACAATATATTTCTGTTATATTTGGTTCTTCCCCTAAAGAAAATCATTAGTTTTGTAAAATTCTTCAAAATTTTAAAATATATCAAACACACACTGACACAAATATAAAATATTAGATATACACAAGACCAGACCACTAAGTGATTTTTACAATTTTAAAGTTATCCTTTTAAAGCAAGTGGAAAATGCTGTTTTTCTATTTTCCCAATTCTGGAATACAAAAGTGAGTTGGTAAGTCATCCTGGACAATGAGGACAAGGACAACATGGTAAAGTGATTCCAGACAAGAAATAAATCCAGTGGAGACATCACACTTTCCTTGCACCGATTTAAGCCACCGAAATACTGGGTCTTTGTTGCAGCCTATTCAGAAGTAACAAATGGGCACTCCACTGAATGCACTTACGTGAAATGCTGTACTTACAGCACTGCCATGGTGGAAGTCACAGTAAACACTAATGTTATTACAACAGCGAATATTTAGAGATTCTCTAAAAGAAAAATTCATTGTATTTTAATAAGCAATTATGAAATAATTTTTGTAGGTTCCAAGTGTGATAAAGTAGAAGATGCACCATAATAATTTGCCAGCATTAAAATAAACAGTTACCTTCTTTAATATCACATATCATATTTGGTAATATAGTGGTAAAATTAAGTTTGTAACAAGTTCTTACCATGGAAAGGTATTCATTCGTACCCTGTTCTTATAAATCAGAATTCCTCCTGACATCACTCCGATCATAATTTCATTGTTACTTTGATCCTTAAAAAACAAACAAAAAAACTAAAATAGCATACTTGTATTGCCAGAGATGTATTTTAAAAATAAGTTTAGTGGTTTTTTAAAAAGCACAATGAGACATTTTCAGAAGTGACAGAGATTTACAAAATATTTATAAATTCAAGTGTTAATTGTTACTCTTAAAAATAAAGAACAAATTTCAAATAAAACTTAAATGTTGCACTAGTAAAACTCATTCCTCTAAGCCAAAAAAAAAAAAATCTCAGGATTTCCCATAATTTAAAACTAAGTCTGACTTTTTGGTGGAATGGAACCTTAAATAAAACAGTATTTATAATATTTGAGAAGACTGACAATTAACACATGAGAAACATCATGGAAGTATGGGACAATTCTTGAGTTTGGAAGACCCCAGGGAAGAAAATTTTAATTGTGCTTTGAAATATGAACGAGAATTTCAAACTGTCCTAATTTGAATAGTTATCCTGTATTATTGAGAGAAGGAGTAGGCCTAAAATACTTTTCTCAGATGCTAATCAATCTAGAAACAGCTTTTGCTTCTTCATTTGGAACATTTTGTAGTAGTGTATATTAATTTGGCTGCTTTTTTTTTTGTTAAGCAGTAATAAGTGCTTCTAGATACTATTATAAGTCATAAATCACTTTTTTAAAGGATGTTAATTATAAGTATGAATCAAGATGGCAGCCTGATTCTAAAAGAGACAACTAATAATGCTCTTATCATTCCTTCTACTTCCAACTTCATTAGAAACACCAGAGAAGATAAATAATAATATGCAACACCATAAAATAATCTATAACACTTATTGTTTTCAATGTACCAAACATTTTAGGAATCTTTAAAGACATAAAGTAGGTAAAATCAGATTTACAGAGGGAAAAAAGAGTACAGGTTACAGCCCCGACTATGTGATAAGAGACTTTTCTATGGGGAACAGAAACAGAAACAGAAACAACAAATAAAACAAAATAGAGAGGGCCTCTAAATTACTGTCAGGATGATGACGTAGGGAACAGCTAAGGTAATTAGCATCTACTAATTTCACAATCTCACCTCAACTTGATTGAGTGATAAGAAGTAGAAGTGTGTACAGTCCATTAAAATAGCAACTGTGGGCACTAGGGACAGGAACATAGAATTATAGGTGATCCCCAAAGGAATGCATGAAGAATCCAAACAGACGAAGGCAAACTACAGGTGTAATCTATACCTGACTACATATTCCTTCTCTCCTCCACTGTTACTGAACGAAGGCTACCACAAGAAGAATAGCATCAACAACCAACAGAATCACAAATCACAAATGTCAAAGGAGTATAAAACTGAAGATCACCAATCATTTAAGGAATACTATTAAAGAGACGCACCAAACTCAACAAATAGATAACTCAAGTAAGAGGCTATGTTAAGCTGCCAGGTCTCCCACATGAGTGCAGGGGCCCAAGAACTTGAGCCATCTTCTGCTGCTTTCCCAGGTCACAGCAGAGAGCTGGATCATAAGAGGAGCAGCCGAGTCTAGAACCGGCTCCCATTCAGGTTGCCAGTGCTTCAGGCCAGGGCTTTAACCCACTGTGCCACAGCGTCAGCCTCTCTCTCTCTCTCTCTCTCTCTCTCTCTCTCACTCTGCCCTTCAAGTAAATGAAATAAATAGATAAAAAAAAAATTTAAAAAGGACAAAAGAAGAGAACACCTACATGTTTCTTTCAAATATCTGTCTCATATAATGTATGTAAAATACCTGTTGTTAGCTTTGCAAGGGTTGAATTTTGTATATGAAACAGTTTCTTCCAACTACACAAGAACAATTCAAAAAGGTCATGGAAAAAAGGAATTAAACATAGATTTATGTTGATGCCAAAGAATTTCTAAATCCTTGCATATTTTTTCATAACATGCATTTCTTATGAACTTTCTGGAGACATCTTGTGTATACAGTAAAGGATCAGTTATGTTTGCTTTAATTTCCAACCTGTAAGATATCAATACTTATACAAAATGCTGATAACATGCTTTATGTCAGACAGCTATAAAAGGTCCTAAATGCTTACACTTAATTTCTATATTCACCTTCTCATAGATCCGTAACAGTTCACAGATCAGCTCCAGTCTGTGGATCACACTCTGAGCATCAATGAACTATGACATCACTTCACATTACTTGATTTCAGATGGTAACATTAAACTTACACTTAGTCACGCTATTAGAGAATAAGTTTGACATCAACTTACATTATAGAAATTTTTATGTTTTAACTACAGAGTTACCTCTGGAACAAAGATTAAACGACAATTCAAAGGGAGAGATTGTAATTTGCAGTGACTACATGGAATGATAATGAAAAATCAGAGCAACCATAAAAAAAAAAGGAGAAAAGGAGATAAAATTTTTAAAAGTTTATTTCCATAATAATTGATATATTACAATTACTGTTTTCAGTGTAATATGGAATAAAGCAAAGGATTATGTATAAGAGAATTTTAGAATTCCTTAAGTTTTCTAAGAACCAAAATGTTCTATGTATCTCCTCAATATACATACATAGAAACAAATATAGATAAATCCCACTTAATAGGCCTAGAAATAATGACTAACATGGCAGGAGTAAGTATCCTTACCATCCACCCTGAGCTTTTGAACTATCATTTCCATTAAAAGATACCAAGGCTTCTTGGAGAAATGGCTGATTCCATGCCTCTGGCATAAAACCAACAAGATAAGCCTGAAGCATTTAAAAATACTATATACAAGGTTGCACAGAACTTACTGCTGCACTCATGCTTGTCCCTTCATGGTCACCAAATATGTTACCAGGGATTGACTCCTCAAGCCTTCTTGTCTTCATGAAAGAAAAGAATTCATATGCAAGACAGACAGTAACAGTAAGCATGCTAGCAAAGTTTAATGAAGAATAATAATGAAGAGAGTATACCTGACAGACCAGGCAGGCATCACTGGAAATACCCAAGAGCCCACTAAGTAACTAGTAAATGTTAAATTCATTTTGCTAAATTTTTATTGTGTTTTGCATAAATGCTCGTAAGTTAAAAAATAAATAAATTAAAAATACAGTTTACAAAGGAAGCACATCACAGACTAACACCAAGGTCATGTCAAAAAGATATAGGCGCTAACAGAAGAGCCCCTAGTGACCAGAGATGGGATAATTTAAGCTTCAATAAGAAAAGTAATTACAATATAATGAAATTTATTAAAAATGTTTAATCCATGAATTCATAGTCATTATTTTGAAAACTAGGTAAATAAAAGGAAAGAACCAAACTACAAGGAGTGGGCCTGTGGCACAGCGGGTTAAGCTACCACTTGAGATGCCTGTATTCCTCATTAGAATGCCTGGGATTGAGTCCTGCCTCCTCTCCTGATTGAGCTTCCTGCTTGTATGTATCATGGAAGGCAGTAGATGATGGCTTAAGTCAGGGGCAGGGAATGTCCAGCCTGAGGGCCATTTAAAGCCTATAAAATCCTTTGGTCTGTCCCTGCCAAAGCAGCTGCAGGTACAACCTGAAATTCTGTAAATCTATAGCAGGTTAATTTTTAAGCTGGCAATTTTGTATGGCCCACAAATGATTTTATAAATATCTAAATGGCCCTTGGCAAAAAATAAATTCCCCATTTTGACTTAAGTATTTGGGTTCCTCCCACCCATGTGGGCAACCCAAATGAAGTTCCTGACGCCTGGCTTCAGGTTGGCCCAGGCCTGTTTCAAGTATTTAGGGGAGTGAACTAATAGCTGGCAAATATCTATTTGTCTCTCTGCCTTTGAACTAAAATAAACAAGCAAACAAAGAAAAAAAGGGTAGTTTGTGTCAGTAGAAAAAAAAAAAACTTAAAAAATATAGCAAATGTTTTCCATATCACTGGCTAGTAAAATGCAAGTGGTTCTTTAGAAAAGTACTCCAGCAAATAAGAAAAAGAGAATTATTATGTTTATTTTGCAGCCTACAACAAATCAGTAATCTAACCACTGAACATAAGCAGTTGCTAGCATCAAAACTGAGCAAAAAGCAGACATAATGCCCCTTCTGAAAAATGAACACAACAAAGAGATCGTGAGTTTGATCATTCCTGAATAGATCAAATTGTCTACTGGAAGGAAATACAAAGGACAAAAGAACCTGTTGAATTACATCATGAATATGTGTGAAGTCCCATCTGTAAGAAAATAGAGATGAAATGGTCTAGATCTTTAATAGCTGTTTTTTTTTTGTTTTTTTTTTTTTTGACAGTGAGAGAGAGAGACAGAAAGGTCTTCCTTTTGCCGTTGGTTCACCCTCCAATGGCCGCTGCGGCCGGTGCACTGTGGCTGGCGTACCGCGCTGATCCGATGGCAGGAGCCAGGTGCTTCTCCTGGTCTCCCATGGGGTGCAGGGCCCAAGCACTTGGGCCATCCTTCACTGCACTCCTGGGCCACAGCAGAGAGCTGGCCTGGAAGGGGGGCAACCGGGACAGAATCCGGCGCCCTGACCGGGACTAGAACCCGGTGTGCCGGCACCGCTAGGTGGAGGATTAGCCTATTGAGCCGCGGCGCTGGCTAATAGCTGAGTTCTAAGGAAGAATAAGGGAAGAAAGGAACCTGCTGATTAAGAAAGATTTAAAATGATCTGGTTAAAACACACACACACACACACATGCGCGCACACACACACACAGAAAAACCTTGCCGTAGTAGCTTAGGAAAGCACACTTGGGTGATAAAAAAAAATTTACAAGAAAAAATCCTAAGTAGGAAGAAAGGGTGTTGTTATTGGGAGAAGAGTAGCTGGTAAAGTTTTGCGTGGCCTGTGTGGTAGTTACAAGGATATACAGCTTATAATAATTCACTAAAATATACATATCTGTAACTGTGTTTTATTTTGAAAAAGCAGGTCTAAGGAAGGAAACCTAGTATGACTATGAAATGATTGATATTCTAATATTTTCAATATACTAAATTTCTATTTCTCATATTTTCTATACCCTGTTTATTTTACTTTTCCCCTGTGGTTTCTAGACTCATTTCCCCCTCTCCTTTGGAGACAACTGCTCTACAGAAAAGTTAATTAGCAAACTTCTGTATTGTTACACACTGAAAGAATATAATAATTCAAATCAGTAAAACTTATGGGAATTTTACTATTTTTTCTAAAACAGTATTTCCATCCAATCACTTTTTTTTTTTTAAAAGATTTGTTTATTTGAAAGTTGGAGTTATAGAGAGGCAGACACACACACACACACACACACAGGGTGAGGGGGGGAGGGGGGAGGGAGGGAGATAGAGACAGAGAGAGAGATCTTCCATCTCTTGGTTTATACCCCACATGGCCACAATGCCCAGGGCTAGGCCAGGCCAAAGCCAGGCACTTTATCCAGGTCTCTCATGTGGGTGGCAGAGGCCCAACTACTTGGGCCATTGTCTGTTGCCTTCCCCAGGCCATTAGCAGGGAGCTGGGTTGGATGTGGAACAGTCAGGACATGAACCAGCACACATATGGGATGCTGGCACCTGCTACAATGCAATGCTGACCCCTCCACTTAATCACTTTAAAATTTTTAATTTATTTGTTTATTTTCATTTTTATTTGAATGGCAGGGAGACACTGACAGAGAGGCAGAGAGACAGAGACCTTCCACCTTTGGGTTTACTCCTCAAACACCTGCAACAGCCACGGTTGGATCAAGGCCAAAGACAGGAGCCTAGAACTCCATCTGAGTCTCCCATGTGGGAGGCAAGAACCCAAACAGAGTCATCAACTGCTCCTCCCAAAGTCTGCATTATCAGGAAGCTGTAATTAGAACTGGAGCCAAGAACTGAACCATATACTCCAATAGGCATTCCAAGTGGTAGTTTAACTGGTGTATCAAACATCCACAACAGGAACATTAATTTTAAATGATATGTGGTAGCTGTTAAAATAATGTTCTTAATTACAAAACAATTGTAAAACAGCTTACAAATACTTGGTAAGAGGCAAAGACCACCTCCTCATCTTCCTTACCTCTTTTTTCTTTACTCCCAGAGAAAACCAATTTTAACACTTTGGTATACATTCATCTGTATCTTTATGTGTATACAAACTGTTTTACACACAACTACAAATATTTTAAAGGATAGGGTCTCCTAAGTGGAACTGACAGAAGATTATATTCATATTAATGTTTACCTTAAAAAGAATTACACCAATTCATATTTCTTTTAAGATTTTATTTATTTATTTGAGAGGTAGAGTCACAGACAGCGAGAGGGAGAGACAGAGAGAGAGGTATTCCTTCTGCTGGTTTACTTCCCAATTGGCTGCAAAGGCTGGAGCTGCGCCGATCCAAATACTGCCATCCCAGGCCACAGCAGAGAGCCGGATTGGAAGAGGAGCAACTGGGACTAGAACCAGCGCCCATATGGAATAATGGTGCCACAGGCGGAGGATTAACCTACTGCGCCACGGCACCAGCCCCACCAATTTATATTTCAACAATGTATCAGTTTCCACTTTTCCACTGTCTGATCTGCAATGGATATTTTTATTTGGAATCTTTGTTGTTAAAATCAGCAGCTCGTTGTTTTCACTGTTTTATTTTAGATTAGAGGCAACACTTACACAGTCCCAGTCATTTATATTTCTTTTGGGAAATTCTTATATGTTCTTCTATATGTCTAGTTACAGGTTTGCTAAATATTATTTAGAGAGACAGAAAAAAAGAGACAGAGATCTCCCATCCATTGTTTCTTTCCCCAAATGCTCAACAGTTGGGGTTGAACCAGGTCAAAAACAGGAGCCAGGAACTCAACCTGAATTTCCAACATAAGCAGCATGGACCCAAGTCCTTGAATCCATCACCTGTTGCCTCCCAATGAGCACATTAACAGGGAGCTAGAATCAGCAGTGGAGACAGGTCTTAAATCCAGGAACTCTGATTTGTGTTGTAGGTGTCCAAGTGGCACTAGGACAGCACCTGCCCCAATTACAAGTTTTAACAAATTATGCCAGGTGGGGGTTATAACACAGCAGGTTAGGCTGCCATTTGGAATGCTGGCTTCCCACGTCAGAGTGCTGGTTAACATTCTGACCACTCCACTTCCAAACCAGCCTCCTGCTAATGTGTCCAGGAGGCAACAGTGCTTGGGTTTCTGCCACCCATGAGACTCAGATTCAATTCTGGGTCTTGGGCTTCAATCCAGCACCATACCTGGCTTTTGCTGGTATTTGGAATGTAGACCACTGGAAGGAAAATCTATCACTGTACCTTATAAATAAATAATAAAGAAATAAATTTTTCTAAAGTATTTCTTTGTGAAAACTCTTTATAAAATATGAGTATTTATGGGGCCAGTGTTTGTGGTGCAGAAATTAAGCCATGGCTGGCGCCGCGGCTCAATAGGCTAATCCTCCGCCTGTGGCGCCGGCACCTCCGGTTCTAGTCCCGGTCGGGGTGCCAGATTCTGTCCCGATTGCTCCTCTTCCGGTCCAGCTCTCTGCTGTGGCCCAGGAAGGCAGTGGAGGATGGCCCAAGTCTTTGGGCCCTGCGCCCACATGGGAGACCAAGAGAAGCACCTGGCTCCTGGCTTCGGATCAGCGTGGTGCGCTGGTCGCAGCACGCCGGTCGCAGCGGCCATTGTGGGGTGAACCAATGGAAAAGGAAGACCTTTCTCTCTGTCTCTCTCTCACTGTCCACTCTGTCCAAAAATAATAATAATAATAATAATAAAAATAAAAATAGAAATTAAGCCACTGCCTCCAATGCCAGCATCCTATATGAATGCTGGTTCAAGTCCTGGCTGCTCCACTTCCCATCCAGCACTAGCAGTGCTTGGGTCTCTGTCACCCACATGGGAGACCAGAT